CTTGCTTGCACACTTTATCGTAAATTATTATTCCACGCTTCGGTGTATTTTTTCTTTTTTCTTTTTTTTTTAACAACACAAAGCAGTGTGTTAACAGCTGCTTGTAGCACTTCTTGTCTTACATTCGCGCGGTTCTCCGGTTGACCTCGGTATATTTATCCGGTGCAGCAGTAAAGTTATTTCCGTGTTTGCCAATTTTTATCCCGGAGTGAATGCCGCGGCTTAGCAGTCAATTGGGAATTTCCTATACGCGAGCTCTTTTTATCTCTCTCCTTTAATCTTGATACATTCACGCTTGATTTTTTATTTCGATCTCCACGATACGTGTGTATCGGACACCCAAAGCTAGCAGTCTACGCGCAACTAATCGCGGTTAATTAGCGCCGTATTTTTATAAGCAGATTCGACGGATCGATCTGTCGCCGAAAATATACTCAGCCGGTTACACGTCGACCAATCGGTTTTTTTTCTGATTTACAACCGTGGCGAACTCCAGCGAACCGAAACGTTACCTTAGAAATAAATAAACTGTCGGATTTACCGGAACGAGTTTCGAGAGACAGCGATAATTGACGACGGTAGTAAAATATACAGCACGACGTAAAAATATACGAGATCGATACGTTTATCTCATCTTGCGACTTGCAAGAATAATAAAACAGAAAAGAAGTGTGCAGTTTTTTAAACATGAAAAACTGCAAATCCGTAAATTGATTGAATTGAATAGGCAAACAAAAGGTTAATATTCGAGTAGAAGAATTGTTCAAAATAAATTAATTTTGTTATGTTAATCTTTACATTCTTGCTTAAATTGAGCGAGAAAAAGAAAGCAGAGTTATGCATAAAGATAAATATCAATTAAAAATTTATAAAAATGGCAGTCGATTGTCTGGAAACCATTTGAAACTGAAAACAATTGTTTCGCACATTGCAGCGTTAAAAGCAAGCGAATATCGGGATTTTCTCAGCGGATTGCGCGGCACGTTCGCTCCTCGCGGGACTCGCATTCGCGCTTACTTTCTCTCATTTCCCGCTTCTCGACGGCTGGGGATTTCGCGAATCTTTCGAAATATCGTTTACCGATAAAAGGAGGCGAACTGCCGCCTTCGTAGCGCCGCTCCGCACGATTCAAACCAGTTTAATCCTCGAGGCTACGATAATATTCTGATAATTTGCGCTATCGAAGCTACGTCGCATTCGATTCCAGCAATTTCTGCCTGCGAGAGATTTTTTTTTCATCAACTATACAACAGTTTTTGGCTAAAAAAGAATAAGCGATTATTTTTAATAAATAACAATTTAAATTCTTTGAAAGAAAGATTTTAAAATAACATTGTTTCTATAATAAAGCTGACAGTCTACTCGTCTGTTTATTTGTCTCTCGGACTTGAGCATTGCGAAGTGTCGCTAAGAAGACGATGGACCCTTGAAAAAATACGAGAGTACTTAAGTATCAATGACCATAAACGCGTGGGTCTCAGGCCCATCACTACCGACGACCCACTCTGGCAATGAGAGCGATACTCGGCAACGACCCACATACCCAGTGAATTAAAAGTCAATGGGCGGCGCGACGCGCGCCGGTGCGTACACCGCATTTGCGTCGACTCGCGTAAAATCGCGAAGAAAGATACATGGATGAGAGTTTAAAGTCGGGAATAACCCGATTTTTCTCGCGAAAGTAGCTCAGAGTCCGTCCGGTAGGAACTTTTTAACGCAACCCGTTGCGATCGTTTATTCGCAAGAAGCAACAGTTCGCGTTTCTTTTAACAACGGAAGTAAACTTTTATGCAAACGATGAATTTCTTATTTTTGCGATGCTTGAAATTAATTTTTGCGTTTCGCCAAATTAAAAAAATCAATTTTCCATAAGAAAAATTGATTGTCTCACAGTCTGTCCCAAAGTCCAAAGCCAGCAGTCCCAAACGGCATCTGCGAGCAATTTAACGACGCGGCAAGAGCGAGCGAGCGGCACGGCCGTGATGTATCGAGCGTTTAAATGCTGTCTCTCGGTTTTGTCGCGAAGCAGACGAGGCTGAACAGAGCGGCCACTGTGCCGCGCGATTAAGCGCCCGCCTCCGCCGCTCTCTAATGCGCGCATGGAAACGAGCGGCTCTAAACGAAAGGGTCTCCGAAGAAGGGCAGAGCCAATTGACTTCTCTTGCTCGTCCAAGAGAGAGAGAAACAATGAGACGAGCGCGAGCGTGACGTCATTGCTCTCAAAAGAAACGCTAGCCGGGCGGCTTATCGCCATGTTTCCATCTGCATTGTTACAGTAGGTTCATTTTGTTAATCATTATGAAGTCCGTAGTAGAGGATGATTCAAAAGATCACCGTGAATCACGGCAAAGAATTTTCGAATAAAAATCGGGGTAAACAAGAAATGATAAGATAAAAGAAAGACTTGAGCAACTTTTGAGAGGAACTGTATGTATTAACGATGATCCCTACATGGTTTTCTGACGCAAAGTGGCTGTTACGATATTTGTTTGCACAAATGTCTGCGTCGATGAATATTTACACAGCAATAAATACTACGCTATCTCTTCTTTCTCGCTCGACTCGTACTTGGCGATTTCTGTAGTTTTTCGCATTCGGGATTCCGTGTTTTATTTTCAGACAATTCCCCAGTCTTTTCGATGAACAGCAATTCCTCTTGCTTTCACACAGCTCGCCGTTCCGCGATGCGACTCCGCGATCATTCTCTCTCTCACGATTATGACAATTGCATAATTTTAACTCGACTCGGCAACGAAAACACTTATCTCGCCGATCAGAAACACCTTTATGAACAGAGTGACGTCAGCGGTCGATACTACTTCTCGAAACGAACAGTCGGTCTGTATTCTACACCTTGCGATAACGATATCTACTTGTGCCTCGTTCGAGCGAGATAAAGGTATATATTTACAAGCAAAACCCGAGATCGTTCGACAAAACAGAATCGTTTTTTTTTTTTCATTCACTCGTTTGCATCACATTATCTCTGATAATGCTTGCAAGTGGAATAGGATTTTATTTTCTACCAGAATCTCATTTATCGTAGCAACGCAATGCTGTAAAACTATAATGGCATTGCAGAAATAAATAAATTGCGCGATAAGAATTTAAGTAAATAATTGTAATATACTGTGGAAGGTAACGTTAACTTTCCACGTCTATTTAATTTTTTGTTATTTTTTTCTACAATAGATAAAATGTAATCTAGCAGAATAAATAAAACTATTATTTATAATTTAGCGAGAAATATTGGCAGATTAAATAGAAGTCGAAATACTAAATGAGACTTGAAGACGGTAAATTTAAAGTGAGCTTAAATTAGCGTCACGATTTGGTATGCAAATGTATTTGCTCTCAGGTGAGCCACGTAATCGGAGAAAGACGCGGCACAAACACTTTTATCACGACGATTGCAATATAAAATTTCCTTGAAGCAAAATTGCTCATCGAATTCGGCGATTACATATCGTGCACGCTCCGCAAGAAATTTAAATCGTATCACAGTCTTGTCTCCTCAACTTTAGTATGCGCACCAATAATTGCTTACGCATCGTGAATACGATACTGAATTATTAATGGCTGAATACATAATGATCAGTAAACAGATCTGTAAATTTTAGAGCCACTTTTCGAAAGTCTAATTTGACGTGTCGGATTTTGACTATAAATTGATGGATGACCATAAAAAAAGAAACGTAAAATTGTCTGATAAATTTATTTCGAGCAACTGTCACTTTTAAGATTTTTATTTGCGCATCTATTTTTCAGCTATGTTACAAATTTTTAATTTAATTAAATAATCTTTGCTATTTAACATATTATGTACTACACGTGTTTTCGAATCCTGTCAGCTTCTAAAATGTAGCGATAGCGATAAATAAAATGCTCAAACGAAGCGATAGCGATATAGGAGATAGCGATAAATAAACAACTTATTCAAGATCGAGCGAAGCACAAAAAGAATTCCGGTACATCGAATCATTTATACATTAATATACGCGCTTTCGAAAAAATCTGATCGTACACACAGATATCCTTTATATTTTCTGTTTAATAATCGAGATAATTATTACGCTTCGTTCTAACGGATAATCCGGCGAAAATTTATCGGTATTCGTCGTAACGGAATCTCATCGAACGGTCCTTGATCGGATGCCCGAGCAGGGCACAGTGCCGTCTCTGTTTCGCGTTATCTCTCCCATCTCCGAGCTTCATGCCGGACTCGATCTCTTCGTCTTCCAGATGACGACGTTATCGTTGCGAGAAGTTATCGTCACGTGCACGAAAATTGACACCGTACTGATTCGCGAAGCGAAAGAGTTGCTGCTTGGATTACGCGAATCGTTTACTTAGGTTACGTAAATCGAAACTGACGTGTAACCGCATAAATGTCCTCAAACATTTTTCCTGCGGTTTCGTTCTTGCGGACATGTAAGCCGTTGAACATTATAAATCATATTCTTTCCATTTTGCAACACGAGATAACAGTGAAAGTGGAGAAAAAAATTGGGAATATAAAAGTATACTTTTCACTTTTAAAATTAAACAAACAATTTTCCAACTTGCGTCTAAGCATATTTACTTATATTTTGCTGTCAACAATTATATCGACTGCATAATTTCATATTTTTCTAAAGCGAAATGAAGAAAATTTACATACACAATATAAATTTCTCCTTTACGTTTTTTTTTTTCGAAACGTAAAATATTTTTGCAAAGAAAAACGAAATCTAAAATTTCACATCGCATCAAATCATATAGGAAATTTGATGTCCACTTTTTGCTTATGGCTATTGTAGCACTGCTCTGTCAAACGGCTCACATACCCGCTGACGAGAGAGCTCGGGGGACCGTCGTCGAAGAGTGTCGTATTTCCGTCGGTCGGAAAAACCGCATACCGGTTTGCTCCGGGCGGAGGTTCGGCGTACGTGCAAATGCACCCAAGCCCAGAGGCCCGACCGGGGGCCTCTGTGGAACACGGGCCCTCTGTGTCACGCATGAACGATTTTACCGCACATTGCGATGCAATCGCGAAGCATGCGTCATCTTCCTTTCGATTCCTTTCTTCTCTGTCGAACTCTTCGCGTCTAAACTGTTTTTCTTTTCAACATTTCAAATTGCATTTACTCAAAACAAATTGGCTGCATTCAATATTTCAATTAAAATCGCAACTTTTACCAACGCGCATTCGAGAAAATGAATTTTATTTATAAGTTTTGAGTTGCCAAGTCTTCCCAATGATCTGTTACTCTTTAATACATTTTCTTTTTTAATTATATTTTTAATTATATTGTGCGACGATAAAGAGCAATTAGAGAATCACATAAATGTCAACGGTTGAACCCACATCCTCGCCACAGATTTAATTCTGACTTATTTTAATCTTTTATTTATAAACTTGACATAGCTCGGCTATTGTAAAATAATGATAGTCACGTCGCGAGTGTAATCATAAATACTTTTATAACTGACGCATCGATAAAGGCGAAATACAACCGATAACAGTATCCGCTTGTCATTCGACCGTCTAATGAGGGACGAACAGTTAGGTTTGATGTTTCGAGCGTGCCATTCCAGTCTGCTGCTCTCGCATGAACCCCGTCCGATGATGTATAAAAATCTCTTTCTTCTCAGTGTCGGGATACAGTTGGAGATGCTTCTTGCAAAAAATACACAGATGCAGCTACAAATATTTTAAGCGTCTTTCAATTCAGATATTTCGATATCTTATTTTATTTTGTACGAAGTCGAAAAATTAAACGCACAAACGAAACTCTCGGAAACCAAATTAATCAGCTCCACGAAATGAACATTCGCGATAATCACGTGCCAAAATTAAGAAATTTGCAAAAAGTGGGGTCTGACTTTCGTGAAGCTCATATCCAGACGCGGATGCGAGAGTACTCGCAGCGGAAAATACGTATAGCTGCGAAAAATGCAGCCAGACATGAAATAAGAAAAAAAAAACCCTTGTATCTATCTCGCTTCGCATCCCCGACGGAGATCTTTCGGCCACCGGGTACATACCATATGTCGACCGTATGAGAAAACTGGTCGACCGGTGAGACGTCTGCGGATTCCGTGTGGCCTCCTTAAGCAGCTCCTCTTCTGCTCTCTTCCCTTCTCTTCTCCGATCGTGCCATCCTCGCCGACGACGAGGCGCGTACCCGTTCCCAAGAGCCCGATGGCTGTCTTTCCCGCCCCACCAGCTCGCTCGGGCAATTATCTCTCTCTCTTTCTCCCTCTCTCCTCTCTTTCTGATCAAAAATCGACGCGATTCCGAGTGATTGAAGCGCGTCAAAGGGCAATCGGCCGTGCGGCGGCCGTTCGGAGATCGTTAATCCGCCGATCGGCTTACCTTAACCCTTTCCGTGCACGTTTACACATTTGCATGGCACATTGCCGCCTAATTAATTTAGAGTGTCTGCTATCTCGGAAACCTTGAAATTTTTAAGGAATTTTTTTATCTAGAGAATTTAGGAATATTTTCGGAATATTTTATCAAGACTGATGCAAAATTGATTGAAAATGTTAATTAAAATCTTTCGATTTTGCTTTCGTGTGTGATCAGCCGATTAATTCTTTGCTTTTTATATATATATATTTTTAAACTTGATATCTAAAGGTTGAGTGGGTTTTTTATGACTATAAATAAGAAACACAAAAAATTGAAAGTTGAATTTTGACAAAGAGAAGTGTCTCTCGTCTCAATTTCTTACAAAGAATATTTATTCGCCGGGTTTGTTACCAATCTTATGACACGTTGTGACGCGAAAACACATCATGAATATGCAAAGTAGCATTTTGCATTTCAAATATTTACGTCAGCTACACATATTTAGAGTGTTATGCGCGGCCTGGTAATTTAATAAGATGTGCGCGGCTCTATTAAATTTGGGCATGGTTGAGACGCTATCTCGTCTCGATTCGCCGGCCCGGGCAATCGGCGTGAATAAGCCCGGGTTAATCTACAATTGCGTTCTTTAAAAGGCGACACGCGGGAGAATTCGCGCGACGAGAGAATTCCTCAATGGCCGACGAATGCGGCGGCCTGCGAGTACGACCTCCGGGCTGCATTTACAACTCGTTGGCCCTTCGAAGTGCGGCGAGGCGGCCGCCTAAGAAAAGCCTTGGTCGGGCAGGAGCACGAGAGGAACAGGAGAAGAGAGAGGGAACGGGATAGAGTTATGGATGGCCGAAGAGGGAGAGGGGAGACCGACTGTCGACTCGCGTATTCAGTACTCGATGCACCGTTGCGCGGTGTGCGTCGTCGTTGGCTTTCGTCTCGTGGCCGGATAACCGAATTCCGAGATTCTCGGTCGGGGGATACTTCTCGAACAGTTGGGACGTCGGCAGCCGCCGCTGCGACACCTAATTCTCAAGATCACTCGTCGTCGGGACGAAACGCGTCGCCGGGGATACAATTCGACAAAGGACGAAAATCGTCCGGTCGCTTCGCTAAATTCCGATCATTCTCCGATCGTCCTTGGATATCCTTGAGGAGCCCGCAAGGACACTCGGGCGACCTTCCGCGGCGTGTTCTCGGCGAAACGGGTCTCTCGGCGGTCGTTGGTCGTGCCGGGGCAGCAACAAGTGGTCGGGCCGCGAGACTAACGTTGGCTCTCGGCCTCGGATCGTCTCGTTTCCTCGGGCATCCCCGAGGGAGAAGAAGCGACAGAAGAAGGCGAGGAACTCACGGCACGCCGAAGAAAGTGGCTCGAGGCCGCTCGCTCGCGCACGGATCTTCGAATTCCTCGGCGAGCGCGCGCCACACGATGCGAGGGTCGCGTTCGTCCATGTCGCGTAACGTCGCCATCGCAGCCTGAAAGAGGAATCCTCTGTTCAGCTTTTTCCAAGTCGAACTCGCGGATGCTGCGACACGAAGATGCCGCACTGTGAAACACGCGACGGCGGAGCGGCGGTACTTGCGAGCGCACCGCAGGCTGCAACGCATCGAGAGACGCGCCCGGATGCGTTTCGAGACGGGGTTGGAGTCGCATGAGGCATGCTGGAATTCGATGAACGCGCTCTGAGACTTGGCCGAGCCGATCTCGAGTGATTTGTGGCGAGGAGAGGAGATTGCATGCTCGCACCGAGAATTGATGCGTTCTGAATTGTTTGCTATTTTACGGCTTCGGTCGCGGATTTGGTGACTCGGCAAGAAACGGCCCATTGAAGATCGCGTGCATTGGAACACTCGAACTCTCGTTGCGAATTTCACGATCGCCTTTTACAGAAACTTATTGCGAAGTGATTGATTAATCGGCGCGCTTCCATTTAGATCGACGAGATAGCGGATTACGCGCCGTCGAGTGCATCGAAAGTGCATTGCAGTTCGCGGGTCGAGAAACTCTCGTTGCGAATGTCTAATTGTGATATCGAGAAATATCGATTGAATTATCCGTCTCTCCGTCTGGATTGATAATAGATAAATTATCGCTCTCGGGCGCATTGAGAGGCGCATCAAAACTGAAATGTATTTTAGGGTCGATAAAAGTTATCGCCTCTTGAAAAAATCACACAGAAATTAGTGATCTCTTATCAAAATCGATGATAAGAGTTTCGAGTAATATCGAATGCATCAAAACTTTTTTTTTGTTACATTTCGAATTCGAAGAAACCTTGATCTTTTAACATACCTAATCGTGGAGTGATAATTCAAATTTTGTGAAGTTATATATTATATATATATTATATATATTTAAAGGACAATTTAAATAAAATACTATTTCAAAGTTATATATATAAAGGACACTAAATAAAATATTTAAAAGTCCAGCGCACGGTGCAATCGGGACCTTCACCGAGATCCGTTCGGCCTCGAGGATGAATCTCTCGTCGCATGCCGACACTTTGCGTTCTTCCGCAAGAATCTAATCGGCGGACAGAGAGAGAAAGAGAGAGAGAGAGACACCCTTATCGAACACCCGCGCTTTCGCGATAGTCGCCGGTAAACTCGTGTCCGTGACCTAACGAACGATTACGTGCATTCGTAACTGGAGGAGGCGCGACAGGATGACGGTCGTGCCAACGCGCTCGCTCGCCTCGTCCTCGAGGCGTTCGCTAACGGGAATGGCCGACGATGTCATCGTCCGTTGACGACAGGGTCGTTCCAGGTCGCACACACCCTAAACACTTCCTCGTCGACGATTCACGATTAAAAAAAGAATTATTTTGTTCGCGTGCCTCGCGGAACCCCCATCGGAGTTTCTCTCTCATCTAAGGACAATTTATCCAGAGAACAATTATCTGATAAACGCGGTGACCAATCGAGTGACCATGATGAAGTTCAAATCGCTGTTTCGCAGAGGACAGCCCAGCCAGCAGCAAGCGGCGCAGCAGCAACCGGCGTCGCTGCGCCAGGCGCCGAGCGCCTCCTCGCTGGAGGCGAAGAGCGACGTTCCGTCGGCCGGGAACAACTGGGCCGGCTCTTTGGGTAGCAAGGAGCCGGCCAGACCCAAGGCGACGACGACCGCGGCGAAGAGCTCCGCCAAGGCCTCCAGGATGCAGGAGCTGGAGCGTGAGATCGAGGTCCTGCGCAAGGATCGCGCGCGTCTCGAGGCGAATCTACGCGACGCGGCCTCCGACGTTCAGAATCTGCGCGAGCTGCGTGCCGAACTCGCTTCTCTCAAGGTGAGCCTTCAAAAAATTATTTATAATAGTAAATAATCGTCAAATAGGGAAACAATTCTCGATTGTTGGAAAGTGATTTTGAGATGAATTTTTAAAGAGATATTTACTTAATATTCGGAAGTTGCGTAATGGTTATTCTCAAGGATTGTATTTGTGATGTTTGGCACAGTTTGAAATATCTGGCCGGAATAGAATCAACTCGTTGTTTATTTGCGATTTCATTGAAAAATTCTATTATCTAGTCTTGTATTTTGATTATTTTCATCGCGCGCGAGTTTCTTCACGCAAATATTTCTGAATTATTCTTTCTTTTTTTATGATAATAAGATAATGTACATAATTTAAAGATATTAATTCAATTTCTGAATAATCACAGTTATTCGAATAAAATATTTTGTACATTTTAGACGTAAAAATTGTTAATATTTCATTAACATTATTAATATTTCATTGTCCATGAATTTTTTTTTAAATACACATATACGTTGTCTATATTATCTTAATATAGAATAATATTTCCTTAATTGATTGTATTTTTTTTTTTACTTTTTTACGAATTAAACATATAAATGAGATAAATTTCATAATTTAAAACTTGAATATTAAAAAATTTGAGGACAATTTTAGTAAATTTTTATTACAAGCAATCAAAAAGAATTATTTCTCTTTAAAACACAAAATTTATTATTATACGGGCGATTTAACATACAATGCAATAAGAAATATTTTATAATTGGGTACAGTTATATCTTTTTCTTCTGCTGTCATCCGAGATTTTATGCTTAAGTGGGTCAATGGTAGCTTAAATTCGTCCTGATGAAAGGAGAATGTCCGGTCTTATCAAAAGGGAAAGGCCGATAGATATAAATAGACGGTCGGTTCCACATAATTTCATATTTGTGACGAATAATATCTCACTTTCGTCCTCTTTTCGCGTAGCGCGGCCGGAGCCAACTTTAGCACGCTATTTCGGATGCGTCCACCTTGATGCGAATGGAATCTTTTATTGTAATTGTATACGTTTAATATTACAGCTAAGAAAGCTGGAACGCGTTTCGATTTAAAAGATGTTGAAGTTTTATTGCTTGAATTTTAAGAGCACGCAAATATTTTTGAATTATTCTTTTTTCTTTTATGACAATAAAATAATGTACATAATTTAAAAATATTAATTCAATTTTTGAATAATCGCAGTTATTCGAATAAAATATTTCGTACATTTTAGACGTAAAAATTTATAAATTATTAATATTTCATTTTCCATCTATAATTTTTATTCATCAATTCAGCAAGTAATTCTTATTCGAGTGAAATATCCGGCGCGCAATAAAATTGTTACGTCGTAACAATTATTAATATTCTATTTTACACTCATATTTATGCGACAAATCCGTAAGTTGTATTATGATCATCAGTCGCGAGAGATATTGGCGTGTGGAATGCAAAGCAATTGTAGTGATTGCGTCGCAAAATGTACTCGATGAATGAATTATATCGCGACGCAATATCGCTCTGATTCATCTGCAGTTGACGCCTTGCATTAATTCTTTCCTTCCCCTTCTAAATGTACACCGCGTACCTGGCTGCTGCACACGTGCATACCTGCGTTGTCCCCCCTCCTTTCGTGTTTCACGATCGTATAAGGAAGACAACATAAGGTACGGTCGTCGTACGGCTATAAAAACGTCCTTTATGCATCTAAATTGTGTTTAAATAGATCGATCGAGAGCAGAAGGTACGTTTATTTCTCTTCTCAGTTAGATTGCATGAATTTTAACGCTTCAAGATATTTTAAAGTTTATATTTGTATTTCATGTAAGTCAATGTTAATAATAATATTTACTGGAATCTTCTTTCTATTATTTAATATTAATTATTTCAATATCCAAGTCCTAATTTACGAATCTGGTTTATACACTCAATTTGCAAAGTAAATATTTTTTAATATTAAAAATCTCTAATCTTCACAAATGTCTTTCTAAGAAATTTTGGGCTCCGAAAGATTCTTCAAATAGTTCTAATAATCTTCTCATAATATTCTTTTTTGAAACACAGCGTAGAATATTATAGTGTGGAACATTTTCTCAGGTCTATTCTTTATACCTGCTGTGCATCTTTATATTTTTACCACAATCGCCCTTTCCTCACACCTGTTCCACTTTAAACGCAGGAAAGTGTAAGAGCACGCAGCTCCGAAGGATATAGGTTTACAAAGTTACACCGCAGGATGCGCACCCCCTTGTTGGCGTTCCCCTTTGTAGCTCTCGGTCGTTAGTAGGGATTGAAATCTTCCGTTACAATTTTGAATTCGGTTCTCGATGTTACGAGAAGTATGGAAAATTCGGAAAATCCTGGACGGACGTAGGGATCATTTTTGGGTAGCTGTCGCATCGGAATCCGAACACGGCGGAATTTATACCGGTTTCCGTCCCGGAGCTCGTGTAACCGACGTAACCGTTAGAGAGCATTAGAGAAAAAGAGCGAACGAGAGGGAGGGAGAGGGGGAAAGAGGGAGAACGAGCACGAAGAGTCGTTTTCGTGTGCTCGGCAGCGGAGCCAGAGGGCGTAGAGCGTGGTAGAGCGCGGCGGGGATGTTTACGTAGGAAGAGAGCCGGGGAAGCCGAGCGGATTCCGATATGAAAAAGCGTTGCTTCTCGTCGCCCACGGTAAACCTCGCTTGTTCAGAAATATTGGTGAAATTGTGGTGTCGTCCCGCAGATCGCGTCGCGCCGCGCGAGTTCTATTTCACCAGCTGGTGACCGATTCGCTCGTTGATTCTAACCTCGAATTCGTTTGATTCTGTGTGTTGCCTCCTCCTTCAGCCCCCTCGTTGGGGGCGGACAGTTACGAGACGTCATACCGAAGCGTCGTCGCGACTCGAGCTTCTGTCTCTCAACAGACCGTGAATGTTATGATTGTCACCACGCTTGTCACAGTTGTTTTCTGACGGTTTTTAGAGCTTTTTTTTGTAAGGTCGGTTTAATGGGCTTCTCCTCTCTTCTCGAGCGCTATGCATAAATATTATATAGGTTTGATATGTAAACTGCGATATAAATATAACTGTTAATTATGTGTTTATACCGTGATAGTCACAGTTGAATAAATTCCATTGTTAATCTCACGAGTTGTTGATTAATATACATATATTGGTTGCTACAATTGATAGGAGCAGCACAGTCTGGAGCTAGAACGTCTTACTGAGGAGAACGAAGCACTTCGCGTTCATCTGAGGAACGTGGCACATTCTCCGCTGTCGGATTCGGAAAAGCAGCAGCTGCTAGATGCCTCGAGGCTCCACAATTCTGCGCCGGCCTCTATTGCCATTCCTCAGGACGATGGTTCTGTACACAACACCAGTACACCTCAGGAAGGAGCTCAGTGCACCACGCCGGACTGGGACAAGCACTCTTCCAGTTCGATGTCGGAGGTTTCGGTCGCATGCTTGCAGGACAGGATCCTACAAATGGAGGAAACGCATTACTCCACAAACGAGGAGTTGCAGGCAACTATTCAGGAGTTAAGCGATCTACAGGTTTGTTGGTTCACTTGTTAATTCAGAAGAAATGTATTATTGAGTTTGGTATAAATTTTTCTAACAATTTAATTGTTATTACACAGGCACAACTAACAGAATTGCAAGCTGACAATGAAAGGTTGACTGAGGAGAAGGGAGTTTTGCTGGAGTCACTGTGTCGTCAGACGCAGAAGCTGGAGGATTCTCGATCCAAGGTCTACACTTTGGAGGAACTGCTCTTAAGGGAGGAACAGCCACAAGAAGCGTCTAATGGTTATAATACGGAAAGGGAGCAGAAACTGGTAGATCTTTTGAAAGTGAGTACACCTAAATTTATATTTGTCCTCTATAATTCATATTTATACATCTGCAATCTTGTTCATTTATTTATAAACGCATGAAAAATTAGTTTCTAATTGTTTACATGACTATAGAGCGCGCAAGAGGAACGAGAGGCTCTACTTCTGAAGCAAGAGGAGTTAACCAGCGAACTGAAGAATCTGAGAGCGACCGCTGACGTCAGTGCGGCGGAAACGGAACGTCTGACGAAATGCGTCGAATTACTGGAGGCGTCTGTAGACGCCGCAAACAACGAACGAAAGCAGCTAGACATGGAATTGGCGGAAGCCAGGCAGGAGGGCGCGAATCGTAGCATAGAAATCAGCAGATTAGCGACTCTGCTGGAAAATGCGCGGGCAAAGATCGAGGAGCTTGAGCAGTCGAGGCAGCTAGAGAACAAGAGTGAAGCGGACGAATTGCTAGATGCAGCCAGAAGGGAAAAGGACACATTAGAAACACAAGCGGCAGCTCTGCAGGAACAATTGGCGCGCTCGCATTGCGATCATGATCGATTGCGGGATCAATACTCGCAGCTTCAGGAAGAATACAAGGTACACACTATCCGTATATCTTGTATAAATTTATAAAACAGTCACAAACTTGATATATAGATTTAGATGTAAATGATTGTAATGGAAACAAAATTTTAGGTGGCTCGAAATAATGCGAAATCCGCCATAGACGACTTGGAGTATCGATTGATTCAGATGAAAGACGAGCGGCTATCCGTGAACACGGAACTGCAGCTCGTCCGAGATTCTCTGGCGGAACTGCAGGCGCAATGCCAACGACACCTGGAAGACAAGCGGGAGCTGAAGGCCGCGCTGAGCGAAGCGCAGCGAAGGGAACGCGAGGCGCAAACACGCCAATACGAGTTGGAACGCGCGTTGGCCGACGAACGTAAACTGAGGCAGGAGGAAAGCGCGGAATGGCAGCAATTCCAGACCGATCTGTTGATGACCGTGCGTGTCGCTAACGATTTCAAAACCGAAGCTCAGAGCGAGCTGGAACGCGTCGTCATGGAGAACAAGGCGCAGAGAGACAAGCTCAGAGTGCTGGAGGCGCAGCTCGATAAATTGAACAAAGGTAAAGGGACGGAAACAGTAAACTTGTCTTAAACCGTGTTATGTGATAGTATATTGTGATATATAATAAATATTCGCGACTAAAATATATAAATATATCAATAATATCAATATTATCGTTAATAGATCAATGTCTGTAAATTTAAAAAATGTATATAATATAAAAAGATTTAAACTTTTCTTAAGCTCACATCTTAATAGCGCAGTAAATATAATATTCTATATAATATACTGACACATAACATGCTCTCTTCAAAAAGGGAAAGAGAAATATGAGGATTTTATGAAACAAATATTAGGAAAAAAGAAATATTTCTTAACGGAAGAAAATCAATGTAGCGAATGTTGATTATTTTTTTTCACTTGGCGTATCTTATATACGTAGCTCTCGATATTTCAATTAATTTCGTAATTGTTCCTATTTTCCTCAATCGGACTGCGTACTAGATAGCACTGCAGCGAGTTGCTGTAAGACACTCGATACCACTAACGGGGATAAACGGAAAACGGCGAGCGTTATACTAACGCGCGGTCGGACGATTCTAAAGAAGCGTTATGATTCGAGAAAGCACATGTTACGAAATGGTTTGTCCAAAGTGACGACGAGCGGTTGGGACAGGCATAAAGCGAAGCCCGAGAGCGTCAATGTTCTCGGTCAAAACGGATTTGATTCGCCGGGTAATAGCGCGATTGCCGCGGACGATTCGCCGGCGCTGAAGAAAGCCATTAAACTGGAGGACAAATTGATTTCCGGCGAGGAGATTGAATTCCATCCCGACTTCCGCATGGGCAGCCGGCACGCCGAGTGCGCCTCCGAAAAAACAGCCGCACATTTAACGAACGAGAATTCGAGACAATCGGAGAGTGAATTTTCCAAGTTCTACTTAACTTTGAACAACAGAGAGTCAGATGAGACTGACGGGCCGACTAATAAATCTCCAATAATTGCGAAGGATTATCCGAAGCTGTACGTCACCGTCACGAATGCGTCGGAGAAGGATGCGATGTCCAAAAATTCCTTATTGAAAGGCATTCGCGGTATTCAACACGCCGACGGGGACTCGTACGGTATTAACATCTCGAACAGCCGATTCTTCGTGTCGAAGGACTACATATTTTCCGGTGTGGAGTGCGCGATGAACGATTTGAAGTTCGAGGTCGACCCGGAAATGGGGAAACTGTTGCAGAGGAGTTACAGCACTCCGCGGATGGGCACGAGGCCGTCCGTTCTAGTCGACATCGAAACAGATCCGTCGTCTTCGGATAACGCAAAAGCGGAAACTTTGACGGCGCCGAAGGACTCGACGAAGCAGCGCGAAGGTTCCAGACACGTAAAAACGCTTTCAGACACATCGGCCGTGATTCTGAGACCAAAGGAAAGCGATATCGTCGAACGTAGGCAGAGGCTGTTTTTGAAGAAGCGCGATTCGAAACCGAACTGCGAAGTCATCGACTCCCTTTTGGACGAGAAATCGAACACGTCTACAGCGTTACAATCTGGAAATCACGCCGAATCGTTAGATAGTGTACACAAGAACGAAGAGAAATCACGTGAAGCAAAAACGGAGAGTCATAAAAATTCTCCCGCATTGAAATCGCCTCGTTTAAAAGACGAAGCGGCAACACGGAAAATACTGAGCAATAATCAATTGTGGACAGCAAAACATGTTATCATCGACGACAGCGAAATTACGACCAAACCTACATCTGATGTAAACAGCAGAAGTTTCGACAGAGTCGAAGAGTCAAAAATAGGCTCGTCTAACAAACATATCGATACAAAGTCGCCGAGATTAACAGAAAATACAAGTGCCGAATGTGAAGAAAAAACGAGTCCTAGCGACATGCCAAGTGTTATTTTAGCGAGGCGGAAATCGTATCCGTTATTGACGGAAGCGTCGTCTCAATCAGAATATCCCTCACCGGTCACTTCACCACGCACGTCGACAATAATATTGAGTGAACAAGACGATTTGCAGACAGGCGCAGACAAGAACGATACTCAGAATGGGAAAACAGCTCCGTCCGAGAGTGAATATCGTGCGACGAGCGCGTTATCGCAGTCGCAAAGTATCGCGGACTCAAAGTCCGTTTGTAAAGATGAACCTGCGCCAATGGGACGGACGTCGTCGTTGAAAGAAAAGTTTGAGACGATCGTAGAGGACGTGGAGTTCAGGACTGCGCCGGGGCGGCGCTTGCAGATAGGCAAACCTTGCGACCGTAAGTCGCTCTCTTAGTGTGGGAACCACGACTACGCTTGCATCGCAACTGTTCGAAACCATTGTCCGTCCCGGCTCCGCGATCTAGGCAGAGAGTCGTGCATCTTCACATCACTAGCATCTACATTGTGTCGCCCCCCCCCCCTTCTCCCTCTGCAGTCCCATATGGTTTAACTGTTACCCGGCTTTTTCTGTGTTTCTTTCGGTATCTTCGGCATCCACGCTACGATATTTTACTCGCTTATTTCCGTTCTTGTGTCATCGATCACTCTGTCCCTGTATTTTGATTGATTAATCCGCGCGAGCGCGTGACGTATTGTAAATTTGGAGGACCTTCAGAAATCGCCCGAACATTTTTCAACTACCGATTGTGCTTCATTTTATGTACAAACATTTATTGGCTTATCGCTTCTGTTACTGTTCGGAATTCCTTGCGCGCAGTGGTCCGATATGCGAGTGTAACTAACTTTTGGAAATCTTTTCAGCTAACCAAAAGGTGATACAACAGCCGCCACCGAGGCCGGCCAGCACGCCGACGGAGACCCAACAGTCCGTGCTGACGAGCGTGCAGCAGGAGATCGCTGCTCGTAGGAAGGCCAACATCTCGCGACAGGACTCGAGGCTCTCCGTGAAATGTCTGATCGAGAGTATCGAGAATGCCACGAAACAAGCTAAAGCTGGTGGGTTGATGCAGTTGCAATTAATATCTGCTAGCTATTGTTACATTGTTCGCGATTGCTATTTATTTTTGATACTTTAATACGAGATACAACAAATTATAAAGATAATTGTTTTTTACTAACGTAATTTTTTTCACTAATGAGTATTTTAGAAATAAAAATGCAACCATTGCGGCGCAAGTGACTCGAGGATAACGAATTTATTTTGTGCGTTTAGGACCGGGAAGTCGTAGCAGCTCCACGTCGTCCTTGAATTCGATCGGAACGACGGATATCATGTCTTTGAAAACTCCCCTCAGGGATCAGCAGCAGATCAACAATTTAATCTGCACGGCGAATTCGACGAATAACAATAAGATGCAATCTACAATCGCGAAGAAACCGGTGTCAGGTAATTTTGAAATTTCGTAAACCTGAAACACTCATACGACATAAAAACTATCGTGTGAAGACTTTCATAAATTTTGGAAAGAAGATACTTGGTATTTGATTATATGATTTAATTATTGACGCGCAGAGACAAAATCAACGCCTGTGGTCTTGAGTCCGGGCGAGCTGCTGGACTCGGCAGCGTTGAACGCCAAGGCGATCGACTTTGTGCGTCGCAACAGCGTCACCGATCTGTCGGAGCGCAAGGATCCTCTGTGCGGCTTAGTCAAGAACGGCGGATCCAAACGTAACGCCTTGCTCAAGTGGTGTCAAAACAAGACGCTGGGCTATCAGAATATTGACATAACTAACTTCAGCAGTTCCTGGAACGACGGCTTAGCGCTGTGCGCGATCTTGCACACCTACCTGCCGTGCAAAGTACCGTACGACACGTTGACGCCGGTCGAAAAGCGGCGCAATTTCTCAATTGCCTTCTCTGCTGCCGAGAGCGTTGGCATACCTACTACTTTGGTAAGTTGATCAGTACACCGTCGTATGATTGCAAAAATGTGTGTACAAACATAATAATAATAATACCTATCAATTAGGAATATAATTTTTTATTTAAGAAAAGTTAATGCGTCTCTATATTGAAAGCAAAGAATTAAAAACATCTTTCTTTTAAAAAGAAATACGTTGAATTTTTAAGAGTCGTGCGCGAAGAAATGGACGAATTTTATATTATGCTGAATTATTAATTATAAATTATTGCACAATTATTTTAAAATAGCGATATAATAATACTAAATTAAAGTAATAAAATTAATGTTTATTCTAGCTGAAATAATTAACGGAGATTATTATTCTTTCTGCAGAACATCGGTGAAATGTGTCAACTCGAGCGACCCGATTGGCAACAAGTCATGACGTACGTGACCAGCATTTACAAGCACTTCGAGACGTAACTGATCACCGTCCCATTGTATCGCCCGCCAGACGACACGTCCTACTTGTACCCGTTAAACACTCTCGAAATCGCAAGGCGAACGAGAAAGAACAACAGCATCTAGTCAAGCAAATTCTATAGGACAAGAAAGAAAGAAATTATGCAACAGGAACGTCCAGAGATTCGTCAAGGATCGTTGAATCAGCACTGCCTACTAATTATATCTCGTTACTTCACGCGCTGTATATACTTTCGGATTGTAACATATACGGCCGTTAAAGTATATGCAGAGAGTTGACGGAAAAACTAAACACCAAATGGAATTGCTGTTATTATGTGAGACTGAAAACTTTATATATTATATATATATATATATTTACATATATATATATACATATATATATGTACACGTATATGCGCGCGCTTTGTAGGAGCACGGAGGACGGTAGATTTTATAAGAGAGAAGAATCTTGCGTGTTAAACGAGAGAAAAGAGCTAGATAAAGCAAGCTTTGCGAATAGTCTTCTGCAAACCGGCACGCAGCATAGCCTCTCGAGCAAAGCCCAAGCGCTACGCGTTTGCGAGGAGTGAAACGCGCATTGCCTCTGCATCGTAGTCTTTTTTACACCGTTTCCGCAACGCGAGCGAGTCGAATCGAGTATTGCGTTCCTCGTACCGTGAGTATTTTTGTACGTGTATTATTTTTCGAGACTTTTTGTAGAGTTTACGAAATACGAATGTACAGAACAAAGCGCCTTAATTTAAGAGATCTAATTTATTGCAATTAGTCGCATTTAGTACTCTCATCGAGCCGAGAGATTTTCCCTATCCACTCCCTCTCTACCCCCCCCCCCCTTTCCTCGGGAGAAAAGAAGAATCGTTTTGCGTTTCTACTTTACAGGAAAAAGAAGGAACAAAAGGAATTATGTTGTGCGAAGGTTAAGTTAAGTTAAGTTCTCTGTGATATAGCGAGATAGCCCCGAGACAGAGATACAGACGTTATCGTTATTGCTATTACTATTATTATACTATTATTGCATTAATATCGTCCTCATCATCGTTGTTGTACCATTTAGACAATACGGATATCGCTGTCTGATGTAAAACAATAAACTTACCTAATGGATATTTAAGATACAATTAATCGTCGCGTTTCATATTTCTTTTCCATTAAGAAGCGAGTTCTTGTGATAGCAATATTCGATAAGCAAATTTACTAATTAATTATCTTATATCCAATATTTTTTTTCAATCAAGCAAATTTTCTCTTGATAGCAATATTGAATAATCAAGTTTACTGATTAATCGCATCGCGTTGTATCACATATATTCTTTTAAAAACAAGTTCTTTCTCTTTATAGAGAAATCAAAATCAGATAAACTTACTATAAAATGCATATAAGTTTGTTCAATCAAAAATTTACATAAGATTTGAGTAAAAAATGCATATTTTATTATTACAAAATGGATTAATAATTTTAGTATTAATTTTTATATGTACAAATTCACACAAAATTTGTATGCTTTTATATATGTATCTCATCTAAAACGTTCATTGCATTCAATATTTGTTACAATTGCACTCACAAACAATCGTAAAGAAAATAATCACCCAGCAGTTATGTCAATTTCTCTTTAAAAAATTGTCTATAATAATTGGTTTCAATTAAAATTAGGTTCATTTTCCGAGCGGTTTTCAAAACCTCTTGAATTTTAATACTGGCTTCTTTCACGTGTCATTCGCGTCTATTTTGTCCTGATCTTTGTCGCCGGCGTAATACTCGTTCGCTGGCTCGACGATCTTGTCAGTGTCCTGTGTATTCTGTCGGGAATCAGGATCCGGTTCTGGCTGCCTTTCCTCTTCGGGCGGCAAAGCATCGCACGGTACATCCTGCATTTGCACGCTCGGAGAATGTTGAATCATCTTCAAGTTATCATACACATGCCTCGTGATTGATTCCAGGTACTGTTTGCTGTTGGCGTTATCTTGCCTAGTCACTACCTCGGGATGCAGCGAGAAGTCTGGAGCAAAATATTCCAAGTAGTCTGTGTACGGCAACTCATTGCTGATGTGCTCGTCCACGAGCAGAGATGTCTCGTAAGTCCAGCATCTGGCCACGTTTCGCAGAGTGTAACCACCACCGCCGACAGTCAGCAACGGCACATTCAAATCCCTGACAAACTTGACACACTCGCCGTGTCCCTTTGTGCTGAGGCTGAAGCAACCAAGTCGATCGTTTGCCAGAGAGTCGGCACCGCACTGCAGCACTATCGCCGTCGGCTGGAAAAATTCCATCACGTTGGATATGACGGGTTTAAAAACTTGCATGTAGGATGTATCATCAATTCCTTCCTTCAGTGGTACGTTCACTGAATAATATCGACCGCTTTCGGCGCCAATCTCGTACATGTCGCCGGTACCAGGGAAGAAGTAGTTGCCGTATTTGTGGAACGAAACGGTCATAACGCGGTCAGTCAAGTAGAAGGCTTCTTGCACACCGTCTCCGTGGTGCACATCAATGTCGATGTATAGTACGCGAGCCCGATATTTGAGCAATTCCAAGATAGCAATGACGATGTCGTTGATATAACAGAAGCCGGACGCCTCAAACTTCTTGGCGTGGTGCAGACCGCCACTCCAGTTGATGGCGATGTCGCAGCAGTTGTTGTTCAGCTTGGTGGCACCGTCCAGTGAAGCGCCCGTGTACATGGAACAGAAATCGAAGAGACCGTCGAACACGGGACAGTCGTCCCCGACGTTGAAGTGAGTCAGGTACTTAGTGTAACCTTGAAGATTCTGCGGCGTGACGCGTTGCAAGAACTCCACGTAGTCCTCCGAGTGAAAGCGACACATGTCATGGGTGCTGGCACGATACGGCCGGTAAATCTGCATTTTCTTATGGAGACCATAGTTAAGCACCAGACTATGAATTACAGATAGCCGATGTGGTTTCATGGGATGACCAGGTCCATAATGGAAATTGCCCACCTCCGGATTGTAGAAGTACGCCACTTTCTTGTTGAAGCTCATGTTGAGGTTAGCTGCGCACTTTATTCGCTGGAGATGTAAGTACGAACATCATATTTTCATCAAACCATGACTGTACGATCTGTATTATCCATAATCCGATCTTTCGATCCAAAGCGTCAAAATTATATCACCCGAAATGACAATTGTAGTTAATGGCTTAAAGCTAACCTCAATCTTTTTCTGCACTACTCAATTATCTCCAATATCGAGTTTCCAGTTTCATTCTTGCATTGATTTTCGAGCACGTTGGATACAAATTCATTAGCAGAAGTGAATTATTAACAGCGAAACTGTTAATTCCGTTATTAATAACAGGTTAAATAACATTAAAGCACGCTATAAACCATCTATAAACACTTTGACTACACAAAGAGGAGAGGGGAGTTCCTCTTTTTATTCCCGCGACCAAAGAACGTCTCATCGCGTCCAGAGGATTTTTATCATTTTGTTTAAATTTTAATTATTCTGTTAGTAAAAAATGGATAAAGTAATTGATTTAATTGAAGTAAAAAAAACTTTATTTAATTTATATAAAGCAAATTTGTTTAGGCAAATTTTGTTTGTCCAAGTAATATTATATAAATAAAAATTATTTTTTACGTTTTATTGAATTCAAGGTGCAATCTAAAGATTTAAATTAGCATAAATTCTATCGATTCCTTATTTTCCTCAAGATAGCTCTAAATACAGGCAAAGAATTGACATAAAACACTTATAATTTTAATTAATGTTTACATAAACAATAGTCAATAATTTATTACGAAAATAATTTGTTTTTTTAAAGTAAGCAAGCTTTTTAAAATTAGAATTAGAAAGTTCGGTCGTAATACCGCTTTCATTTATTCGTAATAAATACACCTGGCAAAGATAAGTTTATTATTACCTTCGCATAATGGTTTTCAACTTTTATTTACAATCCCTTAAGTAATTAAGCAGCGATGCACAATATGCATTACAGTTTGTGTCACGTGGATACGTAGACTAGATCGAGGCTATGATGAGAAGTCAAGGTGTCACATTCTTATCGCGTATTTAGCGTAGAATTCATTAAAACATGTCTATCTGTGCGATATATTCTCTGCAAAGTTAATAGATAGTCACATTTAGCGCTGAACACACGATGAAAATATGGACTAAATGTAATGATACTTTTATCGTTTTTAGAAACTTAAAAGTTGATGGGTTTGCCAAAGTAGGCTGCTAAATGAGCTTCTCTGAGTGCCTCAGCGCACGTCTGTAACAAAAAAGCACAAGTATTAATACAATTCGATTTTTCACTTCTTTCTCCATAATTTTAGTTTATTTAAAATCATTTACATTGTGAGCGCAAAACCTATTCAAAATTCATCTTTTAAATTGGCATTCAGAAAAATTGAAAATATACGCCTTGTAATTCTATTTTCAAAACATTTTAGGACATGTAAATATATCAATCATGTGCGAGACATGTCTAACAATATTAGCTCACGAAAAAACTTACAACTGAAAGATCTAATTTCAACAGAAGAAATCCAAATCATCTCCGTAACTTTAATAATTAAATGTAGTGGCGACACACAAATCGAACAAAAATTATTTTCAATATATATTTCCTCTCAATATTTTTAGAAAATTTCAAAAAAACTTTTAATAAAATAATTAAATGGCGCGTTATAGAAATAAAGCAAAGTCTCCTTTGAAATCGATGTTGAAATACTTACTGGATGTGCATGACAGACGCGTGCGACGTCTTCCGCACTGGCACCGTACTCCATCGCGAGAACAGCCTCGTTAATGAGCTCGCCTGCGGCCGGCCCAATCATATGCACGCCCAAAATCTTGTCTGTCTTACTGTCGGCGAGCACCTTGCTGAAGCCGTCCGTTTCGAGATTCGTCTTCGCTCGAGAATTTGCCATAAACGGGAACTTGCCGACTTTGTAGTCAATGCCCTCCTTCTTCAGATCTTCCTCCGTCTTGCCGACCCAACCCACTTCCGGATGCGTGTATATCACACTCGGCACACAATTGTAGTCGATGTGAACTGCGCCTGTATCGACAGTTAAGATAATACATGTTTAATTACAACAATTGAAGAAAAAGGGATGAAACGAGATATGAATACAGGCTGTATTTAAGACGTAAACGACGATTACCTCCGGCAATACCCTCCACTGTGATTATGCCCTCGTCTTCGGCCTTGTGAGCCAGCATTGGTCCGTGAATACAGTCTCCGATGGCGTAGATGCTGCGAATTTAATTACGACGGTGAAAAAGTTGGAAGCACCGGAAGTAATTAACTACAGATTTTAGAGGAAATTAAAAATAAATCAATTTCCAATTAAGACCTCGCTTTTACCTCGGCACTACCGTCTGGAATCGATTGTTCACGGGAATCCTTCCCTTCTCGTCTCTCTCAATGCCCATATCTTCGAGACCCAAGTTGTCTGTGTACGGCCTCCTGCCGACGCACACCAGCAACACGTCGCACGCTAAGTCTTCCTTTTTGCTAGGATCCTTCGCGTCTTCGACGGAAACGACGATCTCACCGCCAGTCTTATTAGCGGCCGTGACTTTCGTTCCCAGTTTAAACTTCAGACCCTGCTTGGCGAGGATCTTCTGCATGGTTTTACTTACTTCCCCGTCAATACCCATACCGCCAATCGACGGCATAAATTCAACGGCTATCACATCAGAGCCCAGCCTGCCAAGATGAAAATTAAGAAAAGCATAATCGAAATCAATAATTTGTCTCGATTAGACATAATCTTTAGTACAGACCTTTGCCAAACTGAGCCCAATTCTAATCCAATGACTCCAGCCCCGATGACGATGAGTCTCTTGGGGACTTCACTGAGCGACAATGCACCCGTCGACGAGACAACTTGTTTCTCGTCGATCTCAATGCCGGAGAAAGGCGTGACTTCGCTACCGGTCGCTATCAAAATATTTTTGGCATTGATGGTTGATTCCACGGATCCATCGGAATTTAAGGCGGTGACTTGGTTCTTGCCGGTAATTTTTCCATGGCCCTTAACCCACTCGACTTTGTTCTTCTTAAACAGACCCGCTATTCCACCGGTCAAGGCCTTCACCACGTTCGTTTTCTGTTCCATAAGTTTGTTGAGGTCAAGCTGAACATTTGATACTACAAAACATTATTCGATAATGTTCATTATTGTAATGCAATTTTTCAACGAACAATCCATCCAGAATTTGACTACTTACCTACAACTCCACGGTTTGCCAAATCCCCACTGTGTGCCATGTGATAATAATGTGAATTGTTTAAAAGCGATTTCGATGGAATGCATCCAACATTGAGACACGTGCCTCCCAGAGTTGTACCTTTCTCCACACACACAGTCTTCATGCCCAATTGCGCGGCTTTAATTGCTGCTACGTATCCACCAGGGCCAGCCCCAATTACTACTACATCTGCGTCCAAAGTGCTGGCATACCTGCGCTGCTGGGCAGCTGTCATGCCAGGAAGAACACGCTTTATGCATGTTGGCTGATAAAAAATAAAAACAAAATTATAGCATTTATTAACATAATAAGTACATTTGGTAAAGAAAATTGTTATCGATTCAGGAAATATGTGTATAAAACATCAATAATTTAAATGAGAGAGGTCTTCATCTCTTGCCATCAACTGGTTTCTTCTTTGTTATATTTTTCATTATTTTTTTTAATATTTTGCTTCTTGTTTCTCTTTAATATTTCGTTACATATTTATATTGAGTGTAAGAAGTGTAACAGAGTGCAGGGAAGAAGTGCTACACAAAGAAAGTAATGACATAACCAATCCATGAAGTTATTTATGTTGTAATAAAAAACCTAAAAGGGTTCTTATCAAACTCTTAAAATTGAAAGGTAGCTTTAATTCAAGTGTGATCACGAAAGTTCTTTCTAATAAGCCAAAAAAAGCATGCAAGGCGGATTATTCTACGAGATATTACGAAAGAGATATCTATCTAAAAACTGACTGATACGATCTCGCTAATAAAATTACTTAGTGTTCTTTTAGTTTCTTACTTACCCTAACAGAATTAGTCACCAGGTTCCAAAGACTGGCTTGCATCATGTCTTTCAAGATCGACCTTGAAAGCACAGAAAAGGGAAAAAGGTCCACGGCAGTGAAACGCAAGCTCTACCGGTTATCACGACAGTATCACCAAGGAGGTTCCGTTCATCAAACGAACAGATTTATCGCAAAGACGCAAGATGGCGCTACAGTCTCGATGTATCGATATATCGATTTTCGATGTTACCCGCATCGCGCCAACGACCGTTTCTACGCCATGTTTCTACGGTTCACACACAGTAATCAGGTATCATAATTTATTGTGTATTTTACTCGTTAAGAGTTCATAATTAGTCAAAATTTTACCGGAAATACCGGTTACAATGACGGACGATTGTCGAAATGATGTTCCTTGCCGCGGATGTTTGCGATCAACAGTGTTTCGTCAATCGCTAAAACGCCGCGGATTGAAACTGCCGTAACCTTGAAAACGGATTTCGATGTCGTAGCAAGCGCGCGATATACTTCTCATTAAATGTAGCATTTTGAAAATTTAGCTGATCGGAATTAAATTCGCTAGAATGTAGTGATGATTGTACTCGTATACGGCGCCGTCGACGCGACCGGCTAACAGTCGTCGTTCGTCTCGCCCGCTTTGACAATGTGTGCACAGTGTTGAATGAATTGTCTAATAATCGTTATATTTATGCATATACATGAACACGAAGTGCGTTTTACTTTGCATTTGCATTTTTCGCGCAATGCGATATACATATGCGCGATACAAATTCATAATTTTCAGAAGTGAAATGCGCAGGTTGTTTTTTGTTCGGTAGTGTACGTAACTTCGTCTCAGTTTCCGGTATTCATCGATTCGTGAAGCCGATGCGAAGCACAACGGATTCTGCAGCAGGTGGAATAAACTGCAATATTTTAACTGGTTAGTAGAATTGTTTGTGTCTTATTTAAATAAGTGTTGAAGTATGTATTATGCATATAATTGCAATAATTTCTATTTCTTAAGTATAGAATTATAACACAATCAAATTTTAATATTTTTTCTCCGACTTCCTTTTTCTTTTTGCTTTTTTTCTTACGCAGTTTTCTCATTGCTTCGTATTTGTCTGGCTACGTAAGCATATTACATTTTGAGTATAAGAGAAAAAATGTTTTATTAACAAGTTTAAGAATTTTATTACTTAAAAACATCAAGTTAAAAAAATTTTTTAAATTTAATATGAACTAACTATAAAACTGAAGAGGAGAGAATTGAAAAATTGGTGAAAGTAGAAGCAATTAAAATAATTTGCAGTAATTTAGAAAAAATTGAAATAAGTATATGTGACGTTTTACCTAATATAAAACAGTGTATAATTTGTGTGTGTGAGAGAATCTCTAATATAATAAAAACAATATTAATTCTTCAGACATAAAATACAAATGTAACAAGCATTATAATTTTTAAATTTCTCGTGTGTAGACTATTTTTCATTTTTTTATGTTAGATGTAAAGTAATTAATTATTTTTTAAAATAAAAATGACAATTTTATGTATTTGTTTTTCACAAATTTTAATTGCTATAAAATAAAAAATACACAATTGAGTTGAGATACATAATTTTTATTACAGTTCACACTTTTGTAATGCATATTTAAGTTTTCATAATAGAAATTTATGTTTGACAAATGAGTCAAGAAAAATGAATACTTACGAATGAACTT